AAATAATTTACTTAATGACCTGTTCCTGTCTTTAATAGCACCTTTTCTCTAAGATAAGTTAAACTTTGCAAAAAAGAAAATGAGAAGCCTCACTGGGCAAAGAAATCAACCTTTATTAAGAGAAACAAAGGTAGGGTCAACAGCCAGCCCAGTACGGTCTGAGACCCAGAGATACAGAATTCACAGTTATTTACAGGTCTCTTGATTCATATATGGTACCAACAAAGTCCTCTAGAAGCTGATTCATGCAAGATTGCATTGTGCAGGTCACTGTGTCCTAACTTTGCGATGTCCTAACTTTGCGATGTCCTAACTTTGCAGTGTCCTAACTTTGTGATGTCCTAACTTTGTGATGTCCTAACTCTGTATGGTCCACAATGTCTTGCTTAGCCCTTTGATGTCTCAATCAGCCCTATACAGGACTGACTTACTTTATCATTCTAACCTGAAGATTAATATATAGGTATGACTATTATGGTAGCATACTTCAGATAACACATTTTATAATGATTTAGTTACACTTCTAAGATTATCTAACACAGGAATTTCCCTGGGACTGCATCATAGTTTGGTTACACACAGGTTGGTTGGTCCGTTTGTTTGGTTTTTTTTAACCTGATACTATGTTCAAACTATAACATAAGTCACACAGTTATTTCTTATCCTAATGATTATAGCTGATAAAAGATTAGCAAGGCAATACAGAGCAAAACACTGAAGGCATTACTTCTTGGCCTTTTTCCTTTCAGCTTTTAATTCTCCTTTGGACAATGAATTAATGGCTGTCCCCAGAATTTATGAGAGGAATCTTTCCCAATACTAAAATTGGTGATAGTTCCCCGGTGGTTTGTCTTATGTAGCAAAAGAAAGGAGCCCGATTTATCACAGAGGCCTGGGTATGTACACTTGACTGTGACTGCTGATAAGTCGCAAAGTCCACAAAGGACTTTGGATTCTTGGAGTTGCAGAGAGGGCTTTTTTCCCTTGTCACCTGAAGGAGGACATCACAGAGCTGTTCTTGAGATATCAGCAATACCATTCATTTAAAAGACCCCAAATATAATTTTACCAAAGGATTCCCCATATACCACCCAGATACTCCTTGAATTCTATTTTGAAATACTTTGTATCTTGTACCTCCAAGCACTTTAGTGGCTCTTTTTGGGGGTTATGGGCTCTTCGTTGCCATATATGGCAGTCATTTCATTATATAGCATCAGTCAAGCCCTTAGAATAATGAAAATTTAGGGCAGCTCATATTCAGAAATCTTTCTCTTTGCCAACGGATACATCAATCATTACTTGGTTTTGGGGGGGGTACTGCTCGAGTTTAAGGAACAGTTTAGGACCATTAAAAACCATTTGTAGCACCAATGCAATTTTCAAAGGGTCTGATATTCCTAAAAAAACATCAACTTAGCAATGACTAAATTTCAATGACTTTTTGTGGGGATTCCAGATCTGTGATTTATTGGTATGAGGAACTGCCAGTGGGGTGACTCCCTCCTCGGCTATGGCCATTTAGTCAGTCAGCATTATCAGCAAACTTCTGTCACTTCTATTCCAAGAGAGTTGCCTGGGACTCCGAGAGGTTATTTACCTGGAGTCCCACAGCTAATCTGGGGTACATGTGAGACTCTTTTCTGCCTTCGAACTGGGAGGAGGATTCCCTTTCCACCACCACTGCAAGCTCCACTATGCCAGCTCTCCTCCTCACCCCAGGACTGCTACCTAGAACTGTGATCCAGATCTGAGCACGGGCCAAGCAAGAGAATCCTGCCTCAGCACCAGCCAAGAGATCCCTGCAGTCCCCCTCTGATCAGCCACTCCATTCCCCCTGTCTGTAGGCTGAGAGCTTCAGAAGCAGCCACCACCCCAAGGTTGCACCAGGACTGGGGCAGGACCAAGCTCCTCTCTCACCACAGTCCCACCGACTTTTCCTACTGACCTTCTAGATTGTCTTTGGCATTTGTGGGTTGAGAAGTCTGGAAACTGCCATAGCTGCCCATGATTCAGTCCCCTGAGGTCTACTTCAGGTTCACTGAGGCCTGGTCTTTGACTGCGAACACCCATGCTGACCTGCGCAGCTCTCCCAGCCTGGTGCAATTGACCTTTCCAAACATCCAGGTTGTCTTGGGCTGGAAATTTGTTTCACTCCATCTTTTTGTGGGTTCTGTTGCTCTAGAATTTGATTAGAACCATTTTTACAAGTATTTGGAGGGGTTTAGAGGAGAGCTCAAGCAAGTAACTGCTTTTACTGCATCATCTTCATTCCGCACCCACACCTTTTTACTTTATTTACTTCCAGGTGGAAGTAAGTTCCTTGAGGGCAGAGGCTGTAATATGCTTGTCTTTATGTGCCCAGTGCCTGGCATATAGTACTCAAATATTCAATATTCCAGTGGATCTCTGAACTCACAAACTTAGAATGTTCTTTCTAATATTCACGTTACCTCCCAAACATTGCTGCCTATCCTGTGTGATTCTTGTGTTAGTTCTCTCATTAGCTCATGAGGAGGCCCTTCTTTGCTTTCTCCTGATATTGAGGAGATCCTGGTGGACTACTTGGGTACCATCCTTTGCCCTTTCCGTATGTCCAGTCAGCATTTAAAAAAAAATGCTTCTTAAACTGAACTGAATTTACTTCACTCATTCAACAAGATCTATCATAGAAACACCTACTATGTGCTCTCCAACTATGCTAGACACTGTGGGGAATTCAAAAGAAGTGTAAGGCATAGTTCTTAGCCTCAAAGAATTCAGAGTTTTAGCTCAAGAGAATGCAAACAGCTTTGATCAGCTTTGCACACATTGTCTCATTGGACCTCTTGTAATAGTTCTTTTTTTTTTAAGGTAATTGTGGTTAAGTGACTTGCCCAGGGTCACACAGCTATTAAGTGTCAAGTGCTTGGTCTGAGGTCAGATTTGAACTCAGATCCTCCTGACTTCATGGCTGGTGCTCTATCCGCTGTGTCACGTAGCTGCCCCAACAGTTCTTTTTTAAAATTTTTATTTATTTGTTTTTACTTTTCAACTTTCACTTCTATAAGATTTTTGAGTTCTAAATTTTCTCCCCCTCCTTCCATTTCTCCCTTCCCAAGATGGCATATTTCCACATTAGTCATGTTGTAAAGAAGAATTAGAACCAAAGGGAAAAACCACAAGAAAGAATAAAAGAGAGAGAGAGAGAGAGAGAGAGAGAGAGAGAGAGAGAGAGAGAGAGAGAGAGAGAGAGAGAGAGGGGAGAGAGAGAGAGAGAGAGAGAGAGAGAGAGAGAGAGAGAGAGAGAGAGAGAGAGAGAGAGAGAGAGAGAGAGAGAGAGAATATTATGCTTCAAGATCTGCATTCAGACTCCATAGCTCTTTCTCTGGATGGGGATAGCATTTTCCATCATGAGTCTTTTGGAATTGTCTTATATACTTGTACTGCTAAGAACGGCTAAGTCTATCAAAGTAATAGACACATTGCACAATGTGTCCATTACTGTGTACAATGTTCTCTTAGTTCTGCTCACTTCACTCAGCATCAGTTCATGTAAGTCTTTCAAGGTTTTTCTGAAGTCCTACTGATCATCATTTCTTATGGAACAATAATATTCCTTTACATTCATATACCACAACTTGTTCAGCCATTCCCCAATTGATGGGCATCCTCTCAATTTCCAATTCTTGGTCACCGCAAAAAAGAGCTGCTATAAATATTTTTGTACATGTGGGTTCTTTTCCCATTTTTATGATCTCTTTGGGATACAGACCTAGTAGTAGTATTGCTGGATCAAAGGGTATAAACAGTTTTATATCCCTTTGGGCATAGTTCCAAATTTCTTGCAATAGTTCTGTAAGATGGGGACTATAGCTATTGTTCTCCTCACTTTATATATGAGGAAATTGGGGATTGGAAAAGTGAAGTCACTTTCCTATGGCCACAGAGAGAGACAGGATTCAAATCTCAATCTCTCCTGATACTCCACTCAGCACATACGAGATACACACTGCCTCATGTTTTAATGATAATGTCAATAATTGAAATATGATAATTAAACTTTAATGGAGGTCAGTCAGCCAGCAATCATTCATAAAGCACCTACTACATGCCTGACATGCTAAACACTTGGGGTACAGAGAAAGGCAAAAACATTCCCTGTCATCAAAGAGCTCACTACATAATGGGGCAAACAACATGCAAATGATTACTTACATATAAGGTAGATGGAGGATAAATTAGAGATAACCTCAACGGTAATTAAGTGTGTAGAGAAGAGTGAATCACGATTTTAGGAAAGGGAGAATCTGTATTGAAAATGCTAAAATTGAAGATGTATGAATAACTTCTTAGTGGCAGATTTTGATTCTGCCAGTCTAACAGATCCTTCCCTTCCTTCAGAAATCAAATGTTCATTTGATAAAGCACATAGAATACAAAATACAATGAATACATTGTGTAGATTGGGGAAGCTGATTTCATCAGTTTTGAACCACTGCTAGTACTGATGAAAAATATACAGGAGGGAAAGGAGCCCTTCACCAATGTAGGTCAGCAGCTTCTATGTAATTACAGCCTTAGAGAGTTGTTTGAGGAAACTAAGAGGTAAATTCTTGCTCCTCCTTAGAAATATTATTATTATTAGCTAGAATTTACATAGTGCTTTAAGGTCTGCAAAAAAACTTGGGTCATTTCATTTGATCCTCACAACAATTTTGAGAGACAGATGTTATTATCCCGATTTTACAGATGAAGAAACTGAGGCAGAGAGAAGTTAAGTGACTTGCCCAGGGTCACATGGTATCTGAGGTTGGATTTGAACACAGTTCTTCCTGACTGCAAGTTAAGCCTTCTCTCCACTGTACTATGCTGCCCTTCAAACAATACTTAATCAACACAAAAAGCTTCTCTTTATAAAACACTTGTCCAACTTGACCAGATTGTTTTCAAGCACAGAGAATTCAATTATTGAAAAGCCACCTAAGAAGATGATCTGCAGTTCAGTGTTCCCACTGTACCTTGCAGGATACTCTTTACTATCGCATCGGTGTGCTCAGCAAGGAGATCTGGATTGGTGATTGCAGCCAGGGACAAGTAACTCGACATATTTCTGCAGAGCTCCTTGTTACCCCTCTGGAGGAATTTCACTGCCACTGGGACCGCTAACGCCATTACAGGGGGTCGATTGTAATTCTGAGGAAATAGAAGCAAACAACAGATGATGAGCAACCATTCAAGAAGTTTGATGATACCGTAAGCATTAAATTTGAATTAATGAAGCCTAAAAGAAAATAGATGAACCAGTGTGGAGGCAAGACAGTCGAGGGGACTGTTAGGATCTAGCTTGAGGTTCTACAGTCTAATGTTGACCTTAGAGCCCAACCCCTTCATTTCACAGATGAGACGTTCAAGCCCAGAGTGGGAGAGTGGTTTGCCCAGCATCATACGAATGGTATTGGGACTGAAGTCTTCTGATATCACTGACTCCAAATCCAACACTTTTGTTTCTCAGATTTTGCCAGAATGGGCATTTCCTCTCCAGAAGGAGATTTCCTCACCCCAGGCCAGGCTTCTTAGACCACAAAGCCAGAAACACTCAGGCTAGTAGGTGACTTCAAGTTTAAAGCACTTTGTAAATTTAAAGAGCTGTAAAATGACTGAAGACCAAGACACAGGTCTAATGAAGGTGCTGAGAACAAGGCACAGGACAAGAATGAGTCAAGGCTGGGACTGACGATTTTGCTGAGCAGCACAATGTTCTCAAATCAACTTTGTAATTCATAATGAGGAAACAAAATAAAAGTAATTAAGATAATTTTAGCTGGGGTGGGAGGGATAGAGAGAGAATTGGTCACCATAATGGTTTACAGATTAATGTTATTAACAGTACAAGGCACAGGTAGCTTCCTACTTTGATTTTTTTTTCTATGAGCTATGATCATAGAAAGATTGTAGATTGTAGAAAGATCGTAGGTCTATGATCTTTCTGAAGAAGCACAAGTGTTAAATTTTAGAGCTCTCTAAATTTTGATGCTCTGGGGCAAAGCCCTATTTATTAAGTCCTAGTTATGGCCCTGAGAGACAGCACTGAAGTGGGAAGTTGAATAGAGAGGTAAGAACTACCTTCCTATTGAAGTCTAAGTTCATGAATATTTTTGATTCCACTTAAAGATAAATTCTCAAGTAAGACTAACTAAGCTACAGTTTCCCCCACATCACAGAACATAAAGAGAGGAAATTTACTACCTTGCAGGACAGAGACATAAAGACAGGGGGCAGCCATCTATCAGCACTTCTATGGCATGTAAATTACAAAGCCTAATCTTCTAGGACAAGAATCATGAAGTCCCACTCATGAAAAAAGCAAAAGACTGTTAGGGGGAAAAAACTGTTAAATTAATAGATTAGGGGACCTAGGTTCTCTCACTGCCCCTCAGGAAATTAATTTTCATTATGTTGAAAGGTTATTGTTTCTTTTTTCATCATAATGGTTTTGTCTTTTAGTATAGAACTGTGACTTCATTCACATGTGGGGATGAACTCCCAGTGTGGACATTCCCTCCGTTAATTCATATTGGGAACTTGTTTATACTTTGTAGTTTTCCAGAGCTGCCTGGGATAGGGAAATTAATTCACCTGCTCAGGGTCACATAGTCACTTTGTGTCAGACATGGGACTTGGAGTCAAGTCTTCCTGATCCCAAGCCTAACTCCCAGTAGAATGTATCAAATTGACTCTTGTCATATCCAAATATAAATAATTTAAATTTAGTCCTTATTTATAGATTTACTTATGCATTAGCACTTATTATGAAAGTTGGGTTTATTACAACAATAATACAAAAAATAAGGTAAAGCCAACTTTCACTAAGATTTTTGATTTCATTTTCCCCCTTTTCTAAAAATGTTCGTGATGCTTATTAACCAACCTGAAATAGACCTAAGCTTGCTTTCCCCTTCTAATGTCACTCCCTTCTGAGTAATCATTTTGGAGAATTCAACTCGACAAACATTTCTTAAGCAAGTACTTTGTTCGTCTGCTTGTTTTCAGTTGCCAATGTGCAGCTTATGGAGGTACTATAAATATAATTTCTTTTGGACATAATTTTCTAATTTGTAAAAAAAAGAACTATGACATATCTCATACTGCTATGACTAATAAAAATATGTTTAGATACATTTCTTAAGACTGCATCCTAACATATTTCCACAGTAATTTCTATTTGTATCACTGACTTGATATCTGAAATTGTTCCAGTAATAGTATTTCCAGATAGGGTTGAGAAATTTCTGATCAGATTTTTACTGCTATTATCTTTATTTCTGTTTGTTTTTGTTTTTGTTTTTTAAATTTTAATTTTTCCAATTCCATATAAAAATAATTTTTAACATTTAAAAAAAAAATTTGAGCTCCAAATTTCCTCACTCTTTCTCCTCCCCCTCCTTGGGAAAGCAAGCAATTTGATATAGATTATACATGTAAGCAACTACTTTGTGACAGGCACTGTGCTAGGCAATGGAGATACAAAGACAAAAATAAAACAAACCCTGCCCTCAGAGATCTCACCTTCTACTGGAGAATGCAACATGTGAACAGAGAAGTCAATCCAAAGCAATAGGAGGTTGGAAAGAATTTGGAGAAGGGAAAATGTCCTGATTTGCAAAAAATGAAATAGAATGAAGTTTGGGGGGGGGGTTGTTGATATTATCTTTTGGCAAAATTCTAAAACCTATTATTAAAGAGAGATTTAGGAATAAGAGAAATGCTCATGAAGAGCTAGCCCAGCTTCATAAGAGGAGCTCATGCCTAGCCAATCTTATTTATGGCCTTTTCAAAACTAGCTTATGAGGCTGGTAGACCTGAAGGATAAATAAAGATTGGTGAAGGAGATGAAAGTTGAATTTGGAATCAGAGGATTGGAGTTCAAATTCTGCTTCACAGGAGCTATGTGATATTGGGCAAGTTCCCTTATCTGTAAAATGATGGGCTTGTACTCAATTGCTTGTAAATTCCCTTTTCACTCTGGATCAATGAGCCTATGATTGCACAGATTGTGGAGAGTTCATCTAGATTTTAGCAAAGCATTTGATAAAGTCTCTCCTGCTATTGTGGGAAAGCTAGGGAGGCTGGGGCAATAGTAGAGTTAGGCGAATTTGGGATAGCCTAAGGGGCCACAGCCAAAGGCAGTCATTAATTCACTTTTCACCTTAGAAGGCAGTCTCCAGTGAGGTGTATAGGCTTCCATGCTTGGCCCTGTTCTGTTGAACATTTTTATGAATGACTTGGATAAAACACATCTCACAAAAGGCACAAGTGGCCCCATCCATCAGCCAGCCTTCCACTGGAAGCTTGAAGACTTCCAGTATGGTGAAAGCACTTCCTCCTGAGGAAACTTATTGTTTTATTGGACAGCTGTAATTGTTAAGAGGGCAGCTAGGTGGCACATTGGGCCTAGACTCAAGAAGGCTTATCTTCTCAAGTTCAAATCTAGACTCAGACACTGACTAGCTGTGTAACCCTGGACAAGTCACTTAACCCTGTTTGCCTCAGTTTTCTCATCCGTAAAATGAGCTGGAGAAAGAAATGGCAAGCCACTTCAGTATCTTTGCTAAGAAAACCCCAAGTGGGGACAGGGTGAGTCAGACGTGACAGAGAAAAAAATGACTGAATAACAATTGTTAGGAAGTGTTTCCAGAAGACTTTTATAAAGTGACATAGAATAAAGTAAGCACAGTACGTGGAACTATGTACACATTGACTCTAACGGTATGAATAAAGGCAATGCCAGTCGTGCGTTATTTTGTTTTTCCAGGAATTGTGATTTCATCGGCATAGTTTGGAACGCCTGGTAAAAAAAATTACTCCTACCCAAATAGGTCAGTACCTTCTCAGAGTCTTTGAGAGCTGACCAAAGCAGTGAGAGTTTAAGTGACCTGCCCAGGGCCTCTTAGCTAGTATGTGTGAGAGATGGGACCTGAGCTCCTATCTCCCTGACTATGAGGCCAGTGTTCTAACCACTGGACCACAATGCCTCCATAAATAAAACTAAAAAAAAACAAAAAACAAAAAACAACGAAACTCCAGTGAAGCACAGCACATGATGTTAGTATCAAATTATTAAAGTTAAATCACACAGTCTTTTCTGTCAACAAGTGGCAAGTTACACAAAAATAGCATCATGTGAACCATTCTCTTGGGCTGTATTACTTAACTGCTTTCAGGGAATGTTCTTGGGGTAGGGCTTAGGCTCACAGGATCACAGACCTTTAAAGGACATCAGTGCCAACCCCACCACCATTTTGCAGGTGAGGAAAGCATTTATTAGTCACTCACTATGTAGAAAGCATTGTGCCAAGTGCTAAGAAAACAAAGAAATAAGCCAATCCCTGCCCTAAGGGTGCTTGCCGTTTGATTAGGGACCGCAGCACACGTAGAAGAGTTCACTTGCAGGGGAGTAAGGACACAACCACAAAGCTGATGACAAAGTCTAGGATGCATCTGAGTGTCTGCCCCACAGAAGCAGCCCATCTCCATTGGGAAGGAGGCAGTAGGTCTCAAGGTGAGAGTGGGAAAGGGATCTTGGGTTCTGTCTGACACAGAGATGGGAGTTCAGTGTCTGGCCAAGGAAGGGAAAGGAGAAGAGGGGACTGGCATGAAGATCAAGTAGATGGGGAGCCTCCTGATGGGCATGAATTCTAGCCTTCACCCTTCGCTGCCCCTCCCCCCACCTCGGCAGGAGGAGGAGGAAGTGTTTGAGACAGAGAACTCAGATTCTCTTGGCTGTGAGTTCAGGGGTCCCACCCTTGTACCACGGTGCCTCTCACTCTTATTCGGATGTTTGTTGGAAAGTGCCTATTATGGTGTCAAAACAAAACGTGTCTGTTAAAGTCATGTTTAAAAGGTCTCCCTCAATGCCAGTGCCTTCCCCCTGTGACTATCTATGATTTATCCTGACTACGTTTTACTTAGATACAGCTCTTTGCAGGGCATTTCCCCATTAAACTGTGAGCATCTTGAGAGGAGAGGCTGTTTCTATTTGTAACTTTTTTCCCTCTTTTCTTTCAATCCCAGAGTGTGGCACAGTGCCTAGCAGATCAATGGGGTTTGCCTTGACTTGACCCATTGCTCTCCACTCACCGGCCGGATGCCCTAAGGAGGATTCATGGGAAAACACGGGCAAGAATTTCACAGGA